AATGGGGGCAACTGGACACTGCTGTAAAGAGCCTGTACAGGGATGTGATGTGGGAGAACTATAGGAACCTGAATTAATTGCATAAAACACATCCACTTCCCAAACCAGTTGAGATCCCCAAGTTGGAGAGCAAGAAAAAGATGCAAAATTGAGGGGAAAATATCAAGAAGTACCATTTTTGATATGGAGTTTGTTTCAGAACACCAAGATTCAGTTACAAAGCAGGCTCAGGGAAAGAATCATCCCATGGAGTGATTATGGGAAGGGTTACCTACACCTTTCTTTAGATGTCTGGAAAGATAATGATTTGTTATATAGGAACCAGAGGGAACAGGACATTTATTTGCTACAAGTCATTTTTATTCAGAAGATGATCAACACTGAGGAGGGAGATTTTGAATGCAGTGAAAATACAAGCTTTGATACTAAGTCAGTTAACTCAATTTATGACACACAACAAGTACTTCCAATGAGAAAGCGGTCTCCAAAATATGACAAATTTAAACCTAACTTTATATTAAAAAATTTAGTATCAGTAGGTAAGCAACTTGTAAAATATGGTAAATGTAGAAGTGCATTGAGCCTGAGTACAGATATTACTCAACATCAAAAAAAGTCATACCACAGTAAATTCCTGTGTTATCAAAGTTGAAAAGCCTTCAGCTGGGGACCGGCAGTTATCGTAAGGGCTACGTCGCTGAACTTCCATGTAGCCGACCATGGTTCGAGTCCCGGACCCGGTGGCTTAAACTCAGGCCAGGCACGTGTGCATGCTTGCCCAAGATCCCGAGAGGAGAATGGAGGAGAAGGGATTGTGGCATGGCCATCCCCCCTGGGGGGTGATTTCTTGCTTTCTATCTCTCTGTTTCTCTCTGTCTTTCTGGTGAGCGCATGAGCCCTATAGCAAAAACCTCTCCAGAAAAAAAAAAAAGAAAAAAAAAAAAGAAAAGAAAAAAATCCTTCAGCTGAAGTTCATCCCTTATTCAATATCAAATCATTCATACAGGAGAGAAATCTTATAAATGTGATGAATGAGGGAGATTCTTCAACCAAAGTACAAACCTTACTATTACTAAGCATCAAAAACTTTATTCTGAAACAAAGGCCTGTGAAAACAATAGATGTGAAAAAAGCCTTCACTAGGAGTGAAGATAGTGATAAAGTCTATGGTGCCATTCTGAAGGTAATCCTTATTAGTGTGTTGAATGAAAACTCCTTCAACCGGAGCTCCTACCCTGCTCAGCAACAAATGACTCACACAGGAGAGAAACCTTTCAAATGTAAGGAACATAAGAAAACCCTCAGCAGGGGTTCAGAATTTATTAAATACCAAACACTTAACCCTCGAGATAAGTTCTGAAAAAGAAGTATTACCCTCAATCAGAATGCAGAATTCATTCAACATCCATGAAGTTATGCTGGAGTGAATCTCACAAATATAACAAATGTAAGAAAACATTTGTCAGAGATTATTTTTAAATTATATGACAGAATTTATATTGGTAAGAAATTTGTTATTAGATAGCAATCTGTTGAAAGAGTTTTCCTGGCTCCCAAATAAAGCCACAAGGATTTGGAGTTAAATATATTATCATATAAGTCTTTGTCTCTTATTTTGATATTCATTATCCTTACATTTCCCTAGTTCATAAATACTATCTCTGCATATGTATATTTACCTTATTTAAATTATAAAGATTTTGAGGAGGAATCAAGCAATATCTTGGAGTTGATATTTAATAAAACTCAAACTGTTGGCACCAGCAGATGGCCTAATGGTTTCGTTGCTGGACTCCACATGGCCAACTCTGGTTCAAATCCCAGACTCATGACCTAAAACTCATGCCAGGGGCATGTGTGTGCATGCCCAAAATCCCAAGAGGAGAATGGAGGAGAAAGGATTGCAGCATCGCCATCTCCTCTGGGGAATTATTTCTTGCTTTCTGTCTCTCTGACATGTTCATACATCCTATAGCAAAAATCTCTCTCTAAAAATAAATAAATAAATAACCCAAACTGTCCTTGTAAGTAGGTCACAAGAAAGCAATAGCTCATGAGAATATAGAACATTTCTAAGTACTGAAATTTCTGAATTAATGACAAAGGCCACAGTGTGACAGTTACTTCACCCTTGACAATATTCCAGGCTATCCTGGTTGGAGTGGTTGGAGCTGGTAAGGAGAGACTAGAATTAAGAGAGGATTATCAATTGCAATGGGAGATGGATGTGTTGTTAATTTGAATCTACAAATTGAAGTACCCTTTGGAATCTAGTCTGAAGAGACATCCATAGCCTTAGGTCTATCATTTATCCCAGATAATATCAAGTTAATAAATATGTACTGACACTCTAAAAGAAAACATTAGACAATGTTCCTGGCCTCCAGAACTCATGTTCTGAGCAGGAAGACAAACTAATATGTTACTATGACATAAGTTAGTAAATGATGTAATCGAAATATAAAAATATAAAGTGCTATGGGACCATAAAAGGAACCAATTGCTTCTGTCCAAGCAGGTGAGGAAAAGTTACAGGTGAGGTGGTGATTGAGGTGCCTAGATCCCACATGGCCTACTGTATGGTTTGTACTTTTTGTTCCTAGACCAGACAACACTCCAGATGCATGTGCACGTGTGCATAAAAACCTCAAAGGAGAAATGGAGGAGAAGGGATTGTGGCGTGGCCATCCCCCATGGGGTGTGCTTTCTTGCTGGCTCTCT